TTTTTGTCTTTTTTCGTGACCGGCAACGGATCGCAACCCTCAGTGTTGCGCCCGTACCCGACCAGGACCGGCAATGGGATCGCAACCCTCGGTGTTGCACCCACACCTCGCTCAGCCAGTGAGCGGGAACCGGTCTGTATGTGGGATCCGAACCCTCGACGGGAGTGCCACTGCGCTCCCAAGCAGCGCACTGTAGCAGTGCGCCACCGGGCCAGCCCCGGAAGAAGCTGTTCTTGTAACAAGGATGGGACTCTTTGTCATCATGAGGCTGTAACTGAGAGACGTCCTCTTAGGCAAAGCACTAGCTGTGATATCCTTGGGCAACCTAAAATCATAATTGGAGAAAAAGAATATTTCAGTTGTCATGGAGATTTGAAAATGTCTGAGAAATTTTACTGAATGGAGATAGGCTTAACTCTCCCCCAAATACCTTTCAATCTCTTTTTTAAATTCTAAAGACTTCACTCTATTCCTCTTGAGGTGAAGAGTTTGCCTAAATATTATAGTAAATAAGCCAGATTGGATCCTGGGCCCAGCAACTCTGAGTGTAGGCCGTGAAAAGATTTCTGGAGTGGTGTTCTATTTCTCATAACGTTAGCTGCAGTAAGGTACTGTTCGCTACACAAAAAGATGATGCTGTAGGAGACCAAGAACAGAGACTGTGTCTCCCTTACCTTGGATACCTCCAAATACCTTATGAAGTTGTACTTTTTTAAAAAATTATGCTCACTCAAAGGGGAAATCTAAAAATAAAACCATTCCCCTTACCCTAAGGGGATAACATGTGCATGTTTTAAATGTCCTAATATTGTTTTTGCAAGTCAATATATAAGCATCATTGAAAAGCCCAATCTTGCCTGAGTTTTATAGCTCTCAGATCTTTTTGAGAAGCCATCTGGATCAGAAGACACTTTTATCTAACCCTCAGAGCTTGCACAGGTCTTGATAACATCAACTGAATGTATATCTGAAGTACAGACTGGAAGTTAGAAGTATTGATATTGATCCTTTTCTAATGTATCACTTTTTAAAAATTTTTTGGCAGCTGGCTGGTACAGGGATCGAACTCTGGACCTTGGTGTTACCAGCACCACACTCTAACCAACTGCGCTAACTGGCCAGTCCCCATCTATTCTCTGACATAGAAGTGTTGGGAGCAATTAGGGGGAACTCCCGAAGGAAAATGGGACTCTGGGGATTAGAATAGGGGTTCTCGGGCCGGCCCG